ATGTTATTTCTCAGCTTTAGGAGCAGAGGAGGAAGACACACTCTGTAATGATGTACGTCCAACCAGAATGATATAAAAGTTCAGTGTTTTCCCTCAAATAAGATAAAAACATGCACGTAACCTCACGATTCAATTATTATAAATTCAATTATAAAGTACATCATCAACTCAAACTCAAGGATGAAATCCGAATATGTTAAAAAAACAAAAAATAAAATAAAAATCCACTTCTTCTCTTCTCTTCTGTTTGTCATCACTTCGATTAATCTGCAATAGCTCTTAGAATATATTTTGCTTATATATATATTTGTTTTACTTTTTCTTTCTCTTTTTTTTTTTAATATATAACAAGTAATTCGACTTATAAAAAAATATTAAAAAAATTACACAAATCTAAACCCTTATCAATGTTTTTTTTTTTTTTTGAACATTAGAGAATTATGGAAGAATGAGAAAATTTTTCAAGTAATTGGTGAAAGTCAAATTTTCAATTAATTAAATTTAAGTATTAAGGTTTAAAAATGAATTACTGGATCCAAAACCCACTTCGTGAACCCTTATCAATGGTTTTTTTATTTTTTTTGAACTGAAGTTAAATTTAAACCATTATCAATGTTGAGAAAACCGTTTACTAGAGTTTTAATCTTTGGCTTGAACACGAAATCCTTTCTCTTTTGTTTTAGGAAATCTTATTTGTAGATTATAAAATATAAACATTAGATGGGAGAGGGTCCTCAAATTTAGGAGATTTAATATCTATTTAATAATTAATATTATATAATTTAATATAATTTAATATAATTTAAATTATACAATATTTTTATTTTGTTTTATTTTATCCTTATATTTGAGCTGTTGCAATTATTCTCTGCATGCACTTTATGCAGCCCAAATCTGTCACCAGGTCTAGGACCTATTTTGAAACCAATCTTAATTGCTCAATGTGATGGGCCATAAGCCCAAATTATATCAAACATCAAAATCGATCCAAAAGGACTGTGAAGAAGCATTATTATTACTTTTTTTAATAGTCATATTTAAATTTAAAAAATTTTTAAACATAAATTTTAAATAAATATTTAATTAATTATTGAAATAATAGTTAAAATTTTATATTGAAAAAAAATTTTAATTATTATTTTACAAATTATTAAATTTTTATTTAAAATTTATATTTTAAAAAATAAAAAATTAAATTAAAAATACTAAAAAATATATTAAAAAAAAACAGAGATTATGTTATTTTTCAATTATTGTATGTAGTTTGACATTTATCTCTTCCTTCTGTCTCTCCTTTCCAGAGATAGTTATTTTTTCTATTTTTGTGTGTAGTTGCGCATTTACTTCTTCCTTCCGTCTGTCCTCTCTAGGATCAATAAATAAGGGATCCACTGCCATGTGATCGCCACTGCATTCTTTTCTGTGGTCACGCCACATTTACATCCTTCACGTGCCCTTTCCCCTTCAAAATAAATATATAAATGGTTTTGATTTTTTATTATCATTTTCTTTAAACGAATTTATTTATATAAAAATACTTGAAGAGAACAATAAAAGAACACATAAATTATATATTATCTTTTGAACCTAATCTAATGATATTACATTAAATAGGTACACCTCTCTCCCTTTCTTTTGGATGAATTTCATCTTGTTTTTTTTTCAAATTGTTAAAAAAAAAAAAAACACACACGAAATGCTACAAGATTAAAGAAACTGAAAGAGTACACATGCTATTGGCACACAAGAAATTAATCTTAATTTCATCACTGTCTCCCTCAAGCCCTCATTGTTTGCAATAGCCACCACTAATTACCCACGAATTTCGTTTTGATTTTCCATAATACTTGTTAAAATCGGTAGAAATAGTTTGATTTGGTCATTGATAGAGAAAAATAGAATGTTGTATAAATGTGAGGATGTCCTGTTCTTGTTTATCCTCACACCTCTACCGTTTCTTTTAATGTGCATGTGAATAACTTCATTTTCCTGCAGCCAGGTTTTCTGTAAGTACAGACTTGTTTCATTAAAGTGGGCCAAAAAGCAATAAATTCAGCAGCCATAAGGAAAATGTCACTAAATGAATAACCCAATAGGGTTGAGCAGAGTTATCTGAACCATCAACCATGGCATGTAGGTTCAAATCCCTCAGTTTTCAAGTGTTCTGTAGGATTAATTGGGTCAATTTAAAATCCAAATACTCATGTTATCTTTTAAAAAAAAATGTCACTGAATTTGAGGAAAGAAAGCAGTCATCTTTCATTTCAAGTAGAATCGGTCTTTTAGTTCCAATGATTCGACCTCAAGTTTTAAGTGCTTGAGTGAGATGATAAGAATTTCAAGTTCTATCACCGTCGTGAATTCTACCAAAAGGTTACCTAATGACCGCATCCCTCATTTGAAAGGGTGGAATGTTCACTTGGTCTGAAAATCGAATTCCAGTTGCTAACAACTAATTTATACTAACTTCTTACCCATTAGTCATGGAAAAAAAAAAAAAAAAAAAAAAGAGAAAAAAGTAGAGCTTAATTAGAGTCCTAATAAAGATGATGCTTTGCTTTGAGCTATTATTTCTTGTGCTATTATGATATCAACCTCAGGCTTTTAAATCTCAAGTCCCACCACCACGAACATGACATGACATATGAAGCCAACCCACTAAAACCCTAATGAACAAGCTACCCTTTTTTTCTCTATATATGCCAAAATACATTCACATGTCTTTGTATCTTGTGTAAAAGGGATAAATTTGCTCACAGTTGGAGGATCCCCATCAACTACTGCAGTGCTCTTTATCCACATTGCAGAACTCATCTTCATCTGCATCTTTTGGCTTACACAGTTATACTAACCATTCATCTACTGGAAGTTTCTCTGCCATCTCCAAATTGTTGCTGCCATGAACCTGATCATTCTCTCTGTTCTTTCGTCTTTCTTCATTTTGTCAGTGTCTTTGAGACCCGAGCCTCCAAAAAACAATGCTCAGATCACCGTAATGGGGTTTGTTTATTGTGACATATGCTCCAACAACACTTTCTCCAGGCACAGCTACTTCTTACCTGGTGAGCTATCTCATATTCAGACTTAATATACTTTTTCAAGTTCAATTTAGTAATTAGAACCTTGGTTTCTCATGTTGGTGAATGTTAATTAGGTGCTGAAGTCCAGTTAGATTGTACATTCAGAGCAGTTTCGCCAAAAACCAGAGAGCAGATAGCATTTTCAGTGAACAGAACTACAGATAAATATGGGGTTTACAGGTTAGAAATTCCATCAGTTGATGGGATTGCATGCGCGGAGGCCGCCATTTCGTCCTCCTGCCTGGCAAGCTTGGTGGGTAGTTCTTCTACTTCATGCAATGTTCCTGGATACAGAAGCACCACAGATGAGATAGCAATCAAATCCAGGCACCCCAATCTCTGCATCTACAGCCTCAATGCATTGAATTTCAGACCATCTAAGAGAGATGTTACCTTGTGTGGTGGAAACTAAGAGGGGACTTCTCAAGTTCATTCTGCCTTACGCCATCCATATGGTCCCATGGAAGGTCCTTTGCATTTCCCAGTCTGCACATAATACAAGAAATGGAGTACCTTTGATACCCTCTTACCTTACATCTTTACTTTACCTTTGCATAATTTCTTAATTATATGCTTTCAGATACTTTGTGCATAGAATGCAAATCAAGTATGTGGTAAACTTGGTGTTACATACTTCAATTCAGATTTGGCCTTTAGTTTTACTTTTCTACAATACATGTATAAGGCGGTAATTATGGATGGAATGGTCAAAAGCATATTTTGTATTGATTAGCATTGTACACTTTCCTGTATTTTCTCTTATTTCATTTTCTGTTAGTGTGGTTGTAGGCAAACTTTCAGTACTCTAGTTGTATATAGATGTAATGCCATTTATAATGAAATTATTGCATTCTAGATTCATACACTGCTACTCCTATCCTAGTTTATTACGGCATTAGAGCTTAGGTTTTGTTCTGAAGCCCGCAATTAGCACACTTGAGAGAACTTGAAGTTAATACTGGGTTTACATTTAAAGGGGCATATTAAACCACATGATAGGATTTGAACCTACACATGAAGGGGCATGTTGAGTGGAAAAATCACATATTGAGTGCGTAAAGGAGGGTTACTCCATCTATTACCAATTGCTTTTAGATTGGCTGCAATCCTTGTGTTGAAACTCTTATGTTCTCTTATGTTGAAACTCGTATGCACATGTGAAATGTATAGAGTGTTTGCAGATACTAAGAACAGTAGTCTCTCAAAAGTTTTGCAGTTTTAAAATCTTCCAAACTAATAAATACCATTACAGCTAAGAAACAGGGGAGAAACAGAGATAATACTACATGGAGTGCTTTCTTCTTTCATAATATTCAAGTTATTTCCTCTTTGTTCCTTATGTTCTCTTATGATAAATCTATGTAGGATTTTGTTGAGGAGACAAAGTAAATTATGGTCAAGGGTTTTTTTCTTTTCTTTTCTTCAATTCTTCTTCCTCAATTCTCAACCACCTTGGGAATTAGGAGTTAGGACAGACCTTTTTCTTTTATCTTTTGAATGAAGAATGAAATTGAACATAATTATTAATTAACATTCAAATTAAATGAACAATAGACAAGTTCTGGTAATACAAATTCCAACAAAAGAAAAGAAAAAAGAATGTAGACCCCAACACACTCTGCAGAAATTCACCCAGAATTTTCTTCCCTTGTACGTGCCCATCTCCATTGTAATTGGTTTTCCTTCTGCAAAGCTGATGAACTTAATATACCAATAGAGATAATTGAACTAGCACAGTGAAATTAACGAGACAGAAACAGTAAAAGGATCACAAATATCAAATCTCCCTTTTCCTCTAGACCTGCACCAGTTCCTGGAAGGTCTTCATGGCAGAAGCTGGCAAACCCAGAAGCACATTTATGCTTTTCCTTTCTGTGCCATGAGATAGGAACAAGATCACCTCCTTCTCCGGCAATGCAACAGGCCCTGATAGAACAGGCTCTCCCCACCCGAAATCGGTAGTGTGGAAAGATAGCCTAGACCAAGTGGTGATCAACAGGGTAGAAGACAAAGAAGGCCTAGCTCTTGTTACTTCAAAGTAATCTATAGCGGACCTCATGTAACTATCTGTAACCATCTTGATAGCGTCCTGAATCAGCCCCACGCCGTGGGAAAACGGTTTCTCCAGTAACTCTCCTGCTTGGCATATAGAATTTGTCAACACAATTCCATTGCCAAAGTAGCCTTTTGGCAGTGGAGGGTTAAATTTAGGCCTCCCATCAACAGCAAAGAGGAGCTTTGTTTCTTGATCAGGCAACATGTTTAGTGCCCTGGTCCGAGCCCTCCACACAAATGCCGAAATAGCTTCAAAAGTAGTGCATTTGTCTAGAGACCCATCTTTCATTGCCATTTTCTTCAGTTTCTCAAGCTTCTCTGCATCAAAGCAGAATGATCTGTAGAGCAGTTCATCTTTGTAGAGATCACAAGTTCTAGACTTGTCTTCAATCTCAGCAAATTCCTGATGCAGGTACTCTATCTTTGGGGGGATCCTGCCCTTAAGGATGGTCCTATCTGTGAATGGTGGAATAGCAAGTGGCAAACCTCTGGCTGTTTCACCCCAGGAATTCACAAATTCCATAGCTCCTATCCCATCAAACATACAATGGTTCATACACAGCCCAAGAACAAACCCTCCACACTGGAACTTTGTCACCTGGCAAATGAAAACCATCCATGATCAAACAGTGTTTTTGCAACTAAAAATAAGCGGAAAGAAAAAGTGTTGTTGGAAAGGATTGAAAAACCTGAGCCACTAAAGGTGGCATCTCCAGGATGTTTTTAGCACCCGGAATATCATAAACCAGCTTCCCAAGAGTGTCAGGGTCTGGCTTTGTTATGTCACCAATCTCTTCCATGTTGCAATTTGCTTCGGCCTCAACGAAGACAGCTCCTTCTCCGGTGCAGTCCACAATAAGCTTGCCCTCCGCGCTGATTGTCAGCCTTCCAGCGAGGGGGTAGTAATGAACCAGAACCTTCCTCAATGCATCCTTGATCACTTCCCCTGCTTTCTCATTCCCTTTTTCATCTGACTTGAAGCAGTATATCGTTCGAACGATGACCGCAATGTTCTGGTCAAGGTTGGAGAGGAAATAGAGACCCTTCTCTGTTTCCTCTGCAGGAGGAACCAGAGTCGGCTCTCCCTGCTTCACACTGACTATATTTCCATTGGTGTTCTCCATTGTTGCAGACCCTCCAAGCTCAACCTGTAAATAATAAAAAGCAAGGAAGCATAAGTTAATCTAGTACGTAGTGTAATAAATGTGAGGATCGGATATTTATTTTATATATATATATTTAAAAAAAAAAAAAACAAACCATGTGAACTAGCTGGTGGAACACAGAAAAATGGAGTGGAGAAATTTGGAGAACGCAGAGCAGCTAACTGCCAGGGATTTCCTCAGGAACCAAAAATGGATGATTTTCAAAACAAGAATTGCATTAAACTCGATTCCTCTCACAATTTTGTAATGTTTCTGATTCCATTACAGCACGAGAAGGGATATATATATATATAAGGCTAAGGAGATGGGCCCCAAGTCATAACACGGGTTTTACTTCTTTAAAGAAAATGAAAAGGACATGAAAGGGATATTTGGCCAGCTATGATTGGACATGGAGGCCTGCAAGGAGTTGATATTGAATGGAAATATAGGATTATGATATTGTTGAGTTGAAATTACTCATTTGTGAAGTTTTGGTTTTGGTCATATGGGTAGAGGTAGGCCACTTGTCGTACCAGACATATGATTGAAATGGGCTAATAGGTTGGTGGGGTTGGCATCCCAATTTTGGTTTTCCTTTTCAACTATATTATGTTTTTCTTTGCCTCGAGTGATTGACGTTAATTTCTTTGTTCAAACTTGAGAAAGTTGATAATCTGATTTTCGTTATCACATAGAAAAGTATTAGGTTGCCTACAACCCCAAAAGTTTGGGTGCAATAAGTGCAATAAGTTTTGAATTAGTATCTAAAAAAATTAATTTATTTAATACATTAGGTTAATATAAAATGCATTTTTTAAATCATTTGGAGAAAATTTAGTGTATAAGTACGCAATAATTGTTTTAATAACAATCGATCTTAAAATGTCAACAAAAAAAAAAAGTTACCTTCTTGCTTACCCCATCAAGTTATTGTAATAACAATTCACCCTTGCATTAGATATACTCAACAAAATATTTATATATATAGATAGATATATATCAAATTAACCAAGGTGAATAATCACTTGGTTGGGCTTGGTTGATTTATTTGCAAGATAGGGTAGTTATCTACCTTAAATTTCAGCAATACAGCCTGGGTGCCAGAGTCACAAACTTGTGTTTTCAACATGATACATCATCTTAATCAGATTGGCGGTTTACCTCTATTAAATTAATGGGAAAAATGATGAAGACTTTGAGACTATGTGTTCTGTTTTTGGACGCCAAATTTGTTGGCTAGTCATAATCAAATGCTGTAAAAAAACATCATTAGATCGCTAGTTTTCTTGTACAATTTATCATTTAGACATTAGATATTAATAGATAATCGATTAGACTGGTAATTGAATATGCAAGGAAGTTTATTGAATAAGGCAATAATACTAGTAGTGGTTGTGACGACCACCACACTGCCCTGCCTCCGACAACGCTAGCTGTTCATCACCTGACCAAGGGCATATCCACTATGCAGAGATTTTTGAAGGAAATGATTGAATCTTACATAAATCAAAGGAAACTCATTTCATCATTCATCAATCTAGCTACATACAACTGAGAGTTGTCTTTCTCAGGTTCAATCTACAAACAAGAGCAACAATCAATGAATTTAAAGTCCTTATCACAGTGTCCCCAGAAAAAGGTGTTGCTTTACATGTATTTGGACGTAAGTTCAAGATGATCTCCATGGCAGAGGCGAAATCAGGATCAAATACTAAGTAGGGTCTATTGTATTTTTTAACTAATAAAGTCTATAATTTGGAAGATTGTGTACTATTTTTATTTTAACAGGTAGGACCTACAATTACTAAACTTTGAAATTATAGATATTTTTTTTGAAAGAGGAATAATCAGATAAGTTCTATACCTAACCCTTTCATCATAGGTCCGTCCTACTCTGTCTCTTGGTAGCATACCCTTCCTGCCTAGTTGAATATTTGCCGGATGAGCTTCTAGATGGGCAGAATTGGATGCAACCAGGATAGCTTCAAACAGGGTCTTATAGGCAGTTCAAACACCCTTTTGAATTTGTTTGCCGACTTTGTAAGATTTTTGCTGGACACTGCTGTTACACACCACAAAATGCTCTCAGGAGGTCCAGCCTGGCTACACTTGCCCACACAGGCAATTCATTCTTTCAAGTGAAATTCAGGTGCATCCTAGTCCTACACAAGTTACCCACGGAATTGGGTGACTTCAATTAATGTTGGAAGAAAATCCCAAGTCTTCGATCAGGTGGTGATCAGCAAATTGTATCGTGCCATTTCATAGGAGAAACTCAAGCCTTGAACGCTTTTATTAGCATTCACCACTCGTGTACCCATCCATGTCAAATAAATATATACCTTGGTAATTCCTGCAAGAACTGCAAACCATATGCTTTCTTGGTGGTTGATCCTCAATCGGCAGCAGTAGCTTGTGCAAGTATGAAAAACCATCTTAGTACATAAAAGATAAATGGAATTTTCTAAGCACACACTCTAAGTGTATATTTATTATGTTTTTCATTATTAATTTTTGGAAAAAAAATTTTTTGACTTTAATTTTATTAATTATTCAATTAAAATATTTTAATAAAAAATAAAATTTATTTTTATAATTTTTTATACAAATAAATAATGAAAAAAATTTAATAAATATATTTTTAATTTATATCTTTAAAATACATGTTAAATAAATCCAAGATAAATATATTACTTTCTACATTTGTTGAGAAAAAGAACATAAAAGATTTCCCAAATGCTTGACAAGGATGATGGTCTCAACTCCTAATTTATATTTTTTTTTTTGACAAGGAAAATACTGATTAAAAATTAATATTTGTTCAGATCATCGATAGAATCAAGTTCAAGCGAACTCCACCTGCTTCTCGTGAAGGAACGTGACCCATTTAGTATACCACATTGGGGAGTTCCTCCTAATTTACATTACCTTTTCTAATCATAACAGCAAGAAAATACAAAAGTGGCAATTAGACGGTAAGTTGCCAGAAAATCAATCCAGATTACACAGCGAAAGTAGAATACTTGTTGCCTCGTTCACCTAACATAGCAGAGCTTCTCTTTGATTTCCTAACAGTCTCATCAAAATCAATCCTGTTTATTGCATACCTAGAGCAAACAGAGTTGGCAGTTTGGAACCCCAAATAGATGGACATTTTTTTTTTTAATATCAAAAAGTTAACTTTGTGATGTTATAAAATTTAAAATTTTTAAATTTGATCTTAAATTAAAAATTTTAAATTAATAAATGTGAATTTGAGCCAAATTCCATTTTCGGTAATAAAAGGACATGGTAAATTTATTCCAGGAGAACTATACATCAAGTCTAAAACAACAGCCCCCAAATATGCAACTTTTCCCGACTTACCAAAGTTGTGAAATCGAGCTTAGTAGATGATTAAGTGCCTAAATTTGAGTTTTTGAATGCTCGATGCTGCCAAAAGTCGCAATCTTTTCTTGTGTGGATCACAGAGAATGAAGAGAGAACAAACGAGGAAATACAGGTGCCACTGTCGCAGACGATGACGTTTCTGTTGTCCATATGTTCAGCTACGATCATTCCTTCTTGTTGCGTGCCGATCAGAAGAAAAAAATTAAAATTTTTTTTTTCATGTTGCGTTCCCGTTTCGACCATGTCGTTGTCGTATGCAGGAAATAAGCATTAGGTATGGATATAATTGTAAAAAGAATAAATAATAGGTATAAAAATAATACATTTATAAATATTAACTCAAATAATAAATATATGAGTCTGGTATTGTTTATTTGATCTATTTAATTAATTAATTTAATTAAAATATTATTTATATTTATATAATTAAAATTTTATATGTATTTATTATATTTAATATTTATATAATAATAATGATTTTTAAAAATAAAAATAATAAAACATAAAAAATAGAAATAAAAGTTAAATTAAAACTTATAAGGTGATGTTATAAAGATAATTTTTTTATACTACATTTTCATACAACTTTCATATATTATTAAATGAGTGAATGCATTCAATATCATGATTTTTACAAGAATTAAAAAAACTAATCATTTTAATAATACGTTAAATTATACAAAAAAATTATACAAAAATCATTTTCCAAACTTATAAGCCAAACAAATCAAGTATGCAATAATAATAACTTAAATAAATAATAAATTTTAAACTAAATACATAAGTAGGTGATAATAACATTTCACACTAAAGCTCTTCTTTTCATAAATTAAGTGCATAAGTATTTATCTACAAATTATTCAATATTTATTGAATTAAGTAATAAGTATAAATTTTGGAGTATTTAAATAGATTCCAAATTTAAAAAATTATATTAAAAATTTTCTAAATTAAATTCCAAATATAACTTATACCCTATCCCAACCCGTAAATGCTTATCCCTAATCATTTGCAGGAAATGCAAAATGGGCTTGTGTTCGTTATTTACAAAGGTTCTCGAAAAAAGCCCAATTTGAGCCCAAAATTACCCATATGCAATTTACCTTATTATTAGTTATTTATATAGATCTAAATCTAAGCTCAATTAAAAAAAATAAAAAATAAAAAAAAGGGGTCCAAAACAAGCCCAAATTGCAGTCTTCGGAGGTGGATCCTCATATATAAAAGCATCAAAGTTAGGGTTTTAGGCTAGCCCTCTTTTGTCAGCAGAGCTAAGATCGACAAGCTTATTCAACGTCTGCCGAAATGGTGAGTTATCGTCATCTCTTCAAAGATTTTAGTGTTTGTTGTTTATTATTCATTGATTCATGAACCCTCAATCATGAATCATGCTTTGGTTTTCCAATGCCTTTTCCAATGTCTGCATCTGGGTTTTGCCTTTCTTGTTGATTCACTCGGTTTCTGTAGGCTCCAAAACGAAGTGGAATTGGAAAAGCTCCTGTGGCTGCAGCCAAGAAGAAACCGGTACTTGTCTTGTATAAAACTACTTTTTATCTTGAAGGAACTAGCTTTCTACTCAATCAAATTCAATTACATTTTTCCTTATTTTGTATAGGAGAAGGTTGTAAATCCGTTGTTTGAGAAGAGGCCAAAGCAGTTTGGGATTGGAGGAGCATTGCCTCCTAAGAGGGATTTGAGCCGTTTTGTCAGGTTTCCTAAGGTGGTTAGGATTCAAAGGCAGAAGAGGATCCTCAAGCAGAGGCTTAAGGTCCCTCCTGCTTTGAACCAGTTCACCAAGACTCTTGACAAGGTTACTGGTATGTATGTTTCCTGAACAACAATTGAAGTTTTAATTCATTTGGTATATATTACTTTCTCATGTTTAGATTAAGGACATTGGTATTTAATCTTGAATGTGCAATTTGGAAGTAGTTTGGACTTGGAACTCTCCTATTACCCTTGAGTTTTGTGCTTATGAGTCGTAAAATTAATGAATTGATTTTCACCTTTGACCATAATTTCATTATTCATAGTTTGTGCATATTGTTGTGGTTAATTTCTTTTCCCCGGACAATGTTAGAAGTTTCTCATCTCTTTTTTGCTTATATACTATTTCAGCATCAAACTTGTTCAAGATGCTTCTCAAGTACAGACCTGAGGACAAAGCGGAGAAGAAGGAACGTCTGCTGAAAAGGGCGCAAGCAGAGGCTGAACAAAAATCTGTTGAGAGTAAGAAGCCTGTTGTTGTGAAATATGGTCTCAACCATGTCACCTACCTTATTGAGCAGGTAACTTCTGCTCTAATGGTTATCTGTTATTGCATGTCTACTATTACCACCAGTCATCTGAATGGTGGTACTTCTTTGTGGTTACAAGTTTGTTGAAGTGCATTTTCTTTGCAGAAAAAAGCACAGTTGGTTGTTATTGCACATGATGTGGATCCCATAGAATTGGTTGTCTGGTTACCTGCTTTGTGCAAGAAGATGGAGGTGCCCTACTGCATTGTGAAGGGAAAAGCACGCTTGGGAGCGGTAATTACTTCTGTTACCTTGAATTTGCACAACTTATTGAGCAGAGTTATTGATTGATGACTAAATGGTCTTGCCTGTCTCTGTAATAGATTGTTCATAAGAAAACTGCATCAGT